TAGGTGCAGTTCCCCAGTGATCAGCACCGACTGCGGGTGCCCACCCGTATGGTGATGCTGGTCGGCAGCCCAGTACAAAGCTTGGGCGAGCTGGCCCAACAGGGAAATCCTTTGTCCCCCTCCGTGCTGTGATTTCCTCCTGCTGCAAGGGCTCTCCACGTCTTTGGATCTCATAGCTGCTATCGAGACAATCGCAAGTGCGCTCCACATCAACAAGTCAGAAACTCGGAATCCCAACATATCATAGCACCCAAAGCATGTAAGAGCTTCTTTGGTAGCATGTTGTACACGAACCCATCTAACCTTGTAGAGTGTTCTACCGCGCGCGTTTGTGTGCCGCTTTGTTCAAACAGGCCATGCCGCTAGGCTCAACACACGTGAGAGCTTCGGAGCACCATGCGAGCTTGCCGATCACAGATTATCCTGACAGTTGAAACGAAGATCCTGAAGATCCTACCCTGATCCCTTGCTTTGCATGATCTTTGCATCGACAAGTCCTGGCGAGGACTTAGCTACAACTTCGGGCTGATGTTTACTCTTTATATACATATATATATATATGTATATATATATATATTCGAAAAGCAGAACGGACCAAGGCCAACTCGGGCCAGCACCATCGCTCAGGGCATCGATTAGAAGCTTTTGATCGTGTAGGTGTAAAATATGTATGTGCATGCGTATGACATATATATATATATGTATATGTATATACATATACATATATATATATATGTCTTATATGTATACTTTTTGTGTTTATTCGTCGTTTTCGCATAGACCAGTTGCAGAGATTACCATGACTCCCTGATCCGACCTCAGGCTGGGTCCCGATGTTGATAATCGTGCAACAGAAGCTCGAACCACCAAACCTGAGCTTCAATTGGGATTCGAGTTCTTTGACTGATACGGTTTCTGGGTCGATCTGAATCTGTCCTTCGCCCTTGGCCGGAATTCCAAGTGCCCGTCCGAGTCCTCGAGACATTGCTGAAGCCCGTGCAGGTGCAGACAATTACGCCGACATATCCCAAGATCCGGCTTCATCCAGGCGGTTGTGCTTGTTTTTCCTGCATTGTGCTTTTTCGGTCACAGATGGGACAAATGCCCCCAGACCCGTCAGATGTGACGAAGACGACTACTTCCACGTACCACGACTGCGACTACTGCCACCGCCACTTGCTGCTGCTGCTGCTGCTGCTGCAGCTGCTGCTGCTCGAAGACGACGATAGCGACAACGTCGACGACTACAACTCCCACTAACGCTAACGCACACGCTAGCACTAAGACTACTGCTACTACCACCACCTGGGACGGTGTGAAGACGGCTGTTGAGTCGCCCACGCTGTCAGGGGAGCGCCTTCCCAATCGCGTGGAAGTGGACCGGTCCAGAGCTCGGTGATGGAAGGATGTCAGGCATTCGGGCCTTAAGTTGGACCCCCAAATAGTAGATTCGTAGATTCCTTATTGTCTTCGAAGCTGGGACACCAGCAAGATGAACAGTGGTTGTGGCAGCCATGCTTCAGCGGAGGCTGGTGCAGGCATCGAAACCTCAAGGAACCTACAGCAGCTTTAGCATAGCTTCACACCCGAGTATTGATGGCAATCCTGCACGCGGATCAATCAGAACACTCATTCAGACATTGACAATCAAACGCGGCTTGCTGCCCACTTGCTTTGCTTCATTGAGATTCCGAGTTCCGATGCGAGAGCTTGCAGAATTTTGGCGAAGTCCTGTCACTAACGTATACTCGTGAGTGCCCAAGCTGATGAAAGTTGCTCGGCTATCCAAAGCTCTGATCTCCACGTCGAGTCCGAAAGCATGAGCATGCAAGAGCCCCGAAGAGCGCGGGATCTCGGATCCGAAGGTTTCACTGCAGATCTGAGAATCGAATGCCCGTCTTAGGCGAGAAGCGGAGCTGGAGGTCGGGAGTTTTAGCGAGGACTTGGGTTGTTTAGGGTAAAGGCCTTCGAGCAGAAAGTCGAAAGGCTTCGCGGGCGGAGGTCGGGCGTCTGAAAAGATGTCTTTTGGGAATTTCTGTGTTTCCTGCGGTCTGATAGAAGTCTTGCGAGTCCGGTGTACAGGGCGTAGCACAGTCAAAGCTGTCAATTCCTTATGCTACCATACTAGGGTACCGTGCTCGTTGTGCTTGCCGGGTTCCAGGTTCGCAGGTTCGTGTAAGACGTGACGAGACGCAGCAAGGACTCCCACCGGGGTAAAACTTGAAGCATTTCATCCAGTCTGTCGACATGCGCTGAAGCCCGTCACTGATTCTCCTTAGAAAAGCGGTAATATAGGGGCCTTGAGAATTAGAATAGGGTTTTGGGGCCCAGTATACTATAGGAATCCCAAAAATCGTATATGTAATTGTTAAGGCCCCTGCAGTAGGCTTCGGGTCTTCTAATCCAAACGCTTCTGCAGGCGGAGAGAAGGCGGATCGACTGTCCTGTGGCCGCTGTTGCACCTGCACTATCTTCTGCAGCCAGACATGTTGCAGTTCGGGGTTGGAGTTTAGGTTTTGCTTGAAGTTGCATAGGTTTGGTGGTTGTTTTAGCCTAGCATGTAGGGCTTTGGCGAGATGCAGTGCACAAGTTTTTTCAGCCACTGGGATATTTTTTGTAACAAGCCCTTATGCACGTCACTCAGCCCTCCATGCGCATGTCAACCACCCTTGATCAAAAAGCAGCTGCACCTGCCTACACACCGACACACACGACACGAACTCACCACCCACAAACTCAACAGCGCAAGCATGCAAGTACGCGTTTAGCCATCTCTTGCCACAATTCCACATCCGACTGAGCCTCGGGTCCATTGGTCGGTGGTTCCGGTGGCTACTGCAACGCCCGCATAGCTTACACCCGGATCCTGCACGGCTCTCTGCGGGTGCCGGTTGAACCGCTGCCCGAATGATACTCCGTGCCACCGGACTTTGGTTACATCGACTTCGAAAGCAGGTAATTGCACACACAGCTTCGGCATTCCAGGCGGAGCTCACAGCTTCCAGGGATTGGATTGCTGGCGTCAAAACCATGAAGATTGAGCTTACTGGGACGAGCCTTTGGTTTGTCCAAAGCTTCAAAACGAGTCTGACTGGTTGCGGCTGTCGTTCCTCAAAATCCCCAAACCATGCACATGATGCAAGGGCGAAGTTGAGGATCTGAGGAGTCCGGTAAAACAAGCTCGGTCTTTGGACAGGAAGCTCGGTCTGCCGCAGGGTGCAATGCTGCCCTGGCAAGAGGCTGGAGAGTTTAGAGGTCTAGGGATTAGTCGCGTCCGGCATGCAGGGTTGATTCGTGCCCGTGCGCTGTACGCATAAAGTTTATGTAATGGGAGAACACTCAGAGTCAGTCTGGGGGTGCAAAGGACAAGTGGCGCTTCGAGGGGCCACCGAGAAGCCACGTGTCGGCTGACCGCTCCCATGTTGCTAGTAACTTCGGCCACCCAATTCCAGCGCCCACACGATCTTGTCATGTTCCCAAGCCTCGCAGCCCCGTGCATTCCTGACCGAATTTCCAGCCCTTAGTCCTGGAAGGCTGAGCAGCTGAATCAGGGCGAGCACAAAGGCCGAAACTCGAAAGGGGAGGGCTTCATGTCCGTTTCCGCATGCGCAGGGCCTTTGAGGTGTTGGGTGGGATTTAGGGCTGTCATTTCAATTCCACAAGCCTGGCACTTCTCAGCTCCACAAACCCGCCACAAGAACCGGACAACATCCGTCAAGAGGGCTTGGGGCTGCTGCCCAGATACAACCCGGGCTCCTAGAATGTAGAACCATGAAGGGGTGGGAAGAGCTGAGAGGGTACAACCGGAAGACCTAGAAAGACAGACAGCTGCATGCGAGCAGAATGTGCAGCTGGATGCGGCGAGAGAACGACTTCATAAAAAGAAAAAACGCAGGAGTCAGGAAGCTCGGGGCAGATGGCCTTCGTCAGCTCTCTAGTTTGCTAGGATTCATCAGCGCTGGCATGTTGAAGAGATCAGGCCAGGTATCAAGGCCCCTCCAACCTCAGCCGTGTGCACACGCTGTGCAGGTGCAGATGGAGTGGTTCGGATAGACGCAGGGCACTGGGGAATACCAGCTGAGACCTGAGCATCCAGGAGGGAAGGGAGTAGCAAGCTTGAGCTTGCACAGGACCTTGCCAGAGCTATTGTGGTTGGTGCACAGGCGCAAGGTGAGCGATTGTGGCTCAAGGGACTTATGTACGGATGCACGCTTGAAATCCCAAAGATGACCCAAGACCTTAATCGGTAACGTCCCGTTCGAGTCCCTACCTCAAGCCTCGCATCGGATTTCAGCCACCTGACCCCGAGCAGTGGCCCATCTTTGATCGGTTTGGCAAAGATGGATTCAGGTTTAAGCTTACCTTTGGTTAGTGGGGAATGGAAGAATGGTAGTAATAGTGGTCATAATTGTACCCCATTCCTCCATTCCGTACTAACCAAAGGTAAGTAAGTAAAGCGCCGATGTGCTCGCACCAGAGGCACCGACCCTGGAGGCGTTGAAGCATCGCTCCATCCCTCCGGACGAGGCGCCCTCAGAACCCGAAAGTGCAGAGACCCAAAGCCTAAAGCCGCGGCGTTGGAAGACTATCGGAGATGATTTTCGGGAGTAAGTTTGGTTAGGGCTTGATGATTCAACTCAATGTGAAATGAAACCAAATCTTTAGGAATCGAGGAGATGTTGCGGATTGAGGCAGGATTTTCTGGACACTCGTGGTGGAAGGGAGTGGGGGCAATGTTGCGTGCAAGATGCAGGATCTGTGAATATTTTTTCTGGTCGGCGGTGTGCTAGCTGTAAGCGCCAGACCACCAACGGACCAACAGAAGCAAAAGGATGCGTCGAAGGCCTTGGCTCTGGCGATTCATGGTGGAGGTGTAGGAGTTTAGGTTTGAGAGATGATGGGTGTCAGGCTTCCCTTAGTCCAGAGTGTTTGAAGATCTCTTCTTATGACCAGCGGTGTGCGGTTTTTTCTCAGGGCGCCAGGACAGATAGTCGAATGCCATGGCGATGAACGGCATATCGTGCGCTCCACCACTGAATGTGCACATGTCAGGGTCTGCAGGACGACTATGGATGGATCCAGACGCGTATGACATCTTCGTATTTCATCCCGAGGTTCCCTGGTCGGCGTCCCAGGAGGACTCAGAGACGGAGGAGTCAAACTCGCAAGCATACTCCGATCTGGAGATTTCCAACAGCACAGTGTACCACACCCACGGTGATTCAGAAGGATGTGACGGATGTGAGGAAACCTGTGCGGTTTGTTTGGAGAATTTCCAAGAGGGCGACTCCGTACGGGTCCTGCGTTGTCGCCATACTTTTCACCGAGAATGTGTAGATAGATGGCTGGCCGTCAACCGCTTGTGTCCTTTGTGCAAGCAGGACGTAGCACCAATGACCTGGAAGGAGCGCAAGGACGTCAGAGCCTCCAGGCCGTCCCAGGTAGAGCGGGTAACCCTGGTTCTGGACTTCTCTGCCATGCAGATATACGAGACCCGACATCGCCCACATGCGATGCAGTCAACGTCCGGTGTAGACAATGTGGCTGGAAGCACATTATCAAGATCGGCATGCCCTATCAGCACTGTGCAGCATCGTCCGAGTCATTTGGTCCAGCTGGAGACCCAGCCGGTCCAGAGCGGTAGAATGCGGCGAGTTAGTCAATCCTCACACATCATTGCACTGTAGAGCAGCCAACTTTACGTTCGTTTGTCTGCGTAAGCGATTCATTGCGTGTTTCTTGAGTGGCTGCTTTGCGATTGATCACGCGGGTGTAGCCTAGCAGCTCAAACCAACTGGAGAGGGGCAAACAACACTGCCCAGCAAACTGGGTCGTCAGCATCGCAACATATCGCAACGTTCATCTCATGTGCCTGCAGCAACAAATGGTTTGCTCAAGCTTCGCATTAAGACCCTCTCCAGCTATGGTAGTGCCAGTATGCTCAGGCCCGCAGGACACTTTGCAGATAGGGATCCTGGCATGGTCGCAGCCTCTAAGAATCACCCTAGCACCCCTTGATGCCACGGAGCCCAGTTGCAAGCCAAGCATGAGGCTGTCGAATGCTGCAGAATCCCCTCTGGCTTTAGATGTTGGTCGTAGGTGCTTTTCTTTGAATTGTACCTCCCGGACAGGAGAGCCGGCTTCCGTTTCACATTTTCAAGCAGACAGACATGTGGCTCACCCTGTTGTCACTAGGGTACCACACACGTCCAGACTAGTTCGGACATGCCTCCGCAGCGGAAAAGTAGCGATTGGCCCAGTCCTCGCGAGCAGTTCTACTGCGGAGTTGTTCCAGATCGCCCCGTCCAGAAGTCTCATAACCGTGACAAATCAAAGACATCCCAGTGCTGCAACACCACCGCGGCATCGTGGAAAGTTAATCGGATGGTAAAAGAAACTACGGAAAGTCCAGCTGCATTCCACTGACTAAAAATCATACCCGTATCTGTGACCCGCGTCGTTAGATGGCTGTTTCAGATGATTTGACAACACGGCCTCGAGCTCTCAGTCTGAGAACCTGGTCCAGGAGGTTAGGTGTTTCTACTAAGAAGCATCCTCAAACCCAAGGCGAGCTATGAAGCCTCGCTGTCTCTGCACCCAAGCTGCGAAGCCCAACAATCTGAGCCCAAAAATGCCCTACTGCACGGAGTTCGTGCTTCCAGCGAGTGGGACAAGGCTACGAGCTCAGCCGAGCTTATTCCGGCCTTCACATCGAACAAGTGGGGGAAGATACATCCCTTCAGGGCAAGGTGTTTGACGCAAATCTGCTGTGTTTCATGGCCTTGACTGAGGATGTGCGGGGATGATCCCAATAGCCCCGCAACCCGAAAGGAAAGTGTCCAAGACCCAGTCCTTCAATTTCTGGCAGGTCTCGGGTGTCTATGGCCGTTGGGGCCTTACGCAAGAAAGCGAAGCGCAGGTTTGGGCTTCCAGACCCAGATCGTGTATCCTCTCGGGTTTGAAGAAAGAAGCACCAAACTACGGCCAGCACCTACACAGCAGTTAGGGCCGGGGCCTCAAGCCGTAATTAATGTCGGAGATTATCTACATGATGCCTTCGACCGAGCCCGAAGTGTTCAAAGACATCGTGCATGCGTCCCACGCCCATAGGCAGGCAGGCTCGCTTGCAACTATTGCAAATTCAGCATCCGTGGCTGGATGCATTCCGCATGTCCCCGATGCAGGACATACAGACTGAAGGCTTGAGGAGCTTTGACCCAGACCTGCCCGCATGACTTGCATGCCGTGATCTTGACCGCACATGCGAAAAGCTTGAATTTGCTGGACATTCCCTCCCGCAAGAAGCATAAGTAGCGCTTGTGCACACTTGCTGGATCTATTCTTCGGGCCTGAGCGTTTGATCCTCAGCACGGCTCTCATGCCGGCCCCTGCCCAATGTCGCAGAGTGTATTCCCAGCCCCTGTACATTGACATGACCTTCAGCTCTTTACTCTTGGTCTCGGCTCTTGCAGTGTGAAGCTGCCAGACTGCAGCTTGAGCCCGGAAACCCCACATAACTCCACAGTGTCAAGAAAGCTTGACAGACTCTGAGCAAGGCCACTTCTACTCCGGGCTGCCGCGCTCTGAGCCATTTCTCCAGCGTGGACCCGACCCCTAGATCCCCGATCCCAAGCTCAAATCCCTTGCGAATCCATGAGGACGGTAATGATGATGAAGGTTGTGATGGTGATGGCGGTGGTGGTGCTGGTGGTGGTGGTGATGATGATGATGATTGTGATGATGATGGTTGTGATGATGATGGTGATGAACATGACGGTGACGATGATGGTGATAATGATGATTGGACGATGATGATGGCGAGGGCGACGGTGTTCATGATGATCTGATCGTGGTATGACGAGAATGACAAGGGCTATGAGTATGACCTTTGTCATATGGTATGAGTATTCTGTTGTTTCTTTGTTTCGCTCGTTGTCGAAATGCTGTTCACTGTTGTTCTAGGTACGAGCGCCAGAAGATGGAGTCACTCCAGGCGTCGCGTGCTTAGGGATACCATGGGCGAGGGGGGCGAGCAAGAACTGATCAGACCCAGGATCTCCGGCTCTATGAACCAGGCAATAGGAACCGAACGTCAAATCGCAACTCCAGTCCCCCTCACATGGCAAGACCCCGCAGGCATTTTGGCGAGAGTCGACGCAGGTGTTAGACCTCGAAAACCATGTCCTGCATGCAGACTTTCGACGTCCGAACGCAAATCAGTTCAACATCTGTGCACAACGACTTCTCCATCATGACTCGCAAAGTGGGTGGCACGTCGTCTGCACGAACAAGCAAGCTCCAATGTAGTTTGGATGAGTTTGGGGCGGGGGTGGCCTTGCTTTGGTTTAGGTTTGAGAGTCATCTTGAGACGAAGATGATCCTGGCCCACGTAGAGGGATCTCTGAGTTGCATCTTCGGAATGCAGAAATCAGACTACTTATGTAACAAGAGAGCTGACAGAGCTCATCAGTGCCATGATCAACACCGCCAGCGATGTACTTAGGTCCCACGTGGGCTCCCGGGGCCACGGCGGCAGCGGCTACGGCAGCTACGCCGGCCCCAGAGGTCTTGCCGGTCCTGGCGGCCCGGATTTCGGCGGTCCTGGTGGCCCCAGAGGTCTTGCCGGCGGTCCTGGCGGCCTTGCGGGTCCTGGAGGCGCAAATTCGTTGCAGGGCATAAGTGTTTGATTTGGCTGGATTTGACGCCTGCGGTGCCAGTCCTGTCGCTTTACATCAACGCCTTTTGACCTGTGTGGCTGGGAGCGGCTGTGAGCTTTTAGATTGAGTGCATGATTATGGTTTTGAGTGGTTCCGAGTGGGAAAGGTGGAAATGCGTGACATGGCGCAATGAAAATGCTAACTGGGAAACCCTTGATCGATTAGCTGGTCCTCAAGTCTCGACAAGCCAACGAAGAGTGGGAACCGCTATGTGGGCTCTGTGCTGGGGAAAGGGTTCCGAAACACCGTATAGGGGGAAGCTTCTGCATTTCAATCATTTCAAAGACTAAAGCATTGCAGGGTCTCCAGAGAGAAACCAAGGTGAGAGGGAGTCTGGAGTCACGAGCCCAGGGCCCTGAGCGGACGAACCATCCTGACATCAGAAGACCAGAGACAGTGAGAGAGCGGCAAACCCTAAAACTCAAAAGGAGTTACACCCGAAGCCCAAAATATTCAGCAGTGGCCAGAAACAAACCAACACCGCCTTCAACGGCCCAAATAATTACCTGTACTGTTTTGGGGGTTCCTTATTGTCATTATAGTAGATCCTATAGCACCATGATAAGTCGCCGAAACTTCTCCGAGGCCTCGGAGAGACTCCCGGAGGCCTTCCTGGTGGCAAGGGCGCCATGGGCCCTGCCGGGACAGCCAAGGTGCGGGGAGTTGGGTTTTTGCGATTCACATCGCGTCAGCTTTCTTGGCTGACTTAGTGCAGGTGTTTATGGCGAAAGCTTACAGTTTGGGGATTCTGTTTCCGATTTGGTTGGATTGGTGGCTCAGCTTTCTATGTTGTTGGAGGGCTGGTTGGCTCTTTCGGAGCTTTGGGACCAGGCGTGAGCACGATGACGGAAAGCACCTTGAGTCAGCGAAAATATTGATTCTCACTTGCTGCTTATCTTGGACTTGTCTTGGTTAAGTTGAGGAATCTCAGCCGTGGATGTTGCAGCAAATCTCAGAAGGAGCGTCCGAGCAAAGCCTTGGAGTTCCAGCCCTGACTTTGCACACGAGCTGCCAGCGAGAGAGATGTATTGCACAGGGGTATACGTAGATTATCATAGATGTATACACAGAGAAGAAGGAGAGAGCGTGAGAAGCGGGCAGAGAGAGAGAGAGAGAGAGCAACTAAGCAGGACGAGCATTGTATTATGTTATTCGGAACAATGAAAGGCGGGAATTGAGCAAATCAAGCCTGCAGGTTCAGATATCCGACAGCAGAACCCTAATCACTTGTTGTGGTGCACACAGACAAGGATTTATCCAAAACGCACAGGACCGCCTGCCAGACGGTCGGAGGGTCGTCAGCCGCGTTTACGTTCCCTTGGAGGCCACGCCGGATTGAGGATCCGGATGCCCAAACTCCAGTATGCAGGCCCACGAGTATTTCTCAGGTTTTTGCACGGGAGTACGAAAATTCTAGGTTCACGATGGACGATGATGGGCCGTGGATGTAGGGCCAAAGCGAGCTACTGTACATGAATAATTGAATAGCTGTGCAACCTGCAGCGAGTGCTCAGCGAAGGGGCAAGTCCTAAACTTCGGTCACGGCCCCCATTCTGAATCCCAAGTCCCGAAGCCCAAAAATGTTGGTGTAGCCGTTTAGTGTTTGGCAGGACAGCGGATGTGACAATCTCACTACCCGAAACGGCTTTGTGCTTAAGCTTAGATGTGTTATGAACTATGCGCTGTGGTATGTTCAGCACAGACACTGCAGAAAACGAAAGCTCGCGATTGCCGCAAAACTTATTGCCATTGCGATCACATCTCGTTGTTCGGTAGATGTTGCCCGTGGCACTCAGAGGGTGTCATCTGGTTACTTAATTCGCAGCTCTTCCAGTTTCTGCTGCCTTTGCATTCTTCCGACTGAGGGCCGATCCCTTTGAAAAAAAGAAGCCCCAGACGCAAAGCAACTTGCCACACGCATCCAGCACAGCGCAAGAAGCCAAGGAAACGTCATTCCAATCTTGCCAGAC